CATGACTTGTGGACTTCAACTCCCAGAATTCCTGAGGCAGCATGGGGGAATTATGGTCCCTTCATGACTCATGGACTTCAACTCCCAGAATTCCTGAGCCAGCATGGCTCAGCTTGGAAACCTCTCCCTTTTCCCTCAGCATGGCTGGCTCAGGAATTCTGGGAGTTGAAGTCCACGAGTCATAAAAGAGCCGAGGTTGCCTACCCCTGGTTTAGGAAAATGAAGCCAGATGTGCTTAACAACCGTGTGCTACCCTTAACAACTGGAGTGATTCGCTCCAAAATTTCTATCGCTCAAGCGAGACCAATCTTAAGCGAGGCCTGCCCCCATTTTGCGAGCTTCCTTGTCACCGTCCTTAAGTGAATCACCACAGCCGTTAAGGCACTTACCGCTCTCCTTTAAGCGGATCTGGCTTCCCTCCGTTGACTTGGCCTGTCAGAAGTTCGCCAAAGGGGATCGTCACGTGACTCCGGGACGCGGCGACGGTCATAAATATGAGCCGGTTGCCAAGCGTCCAGATTTTGATCCCGTGACCCACGGGGATGCTGGTGTGAAAAATGTTCGTAAGTCGGGGGGGGGTGTTTCGGCGCCGTTGTAGCTTTGACAGGTTTTATAATAATAATAATAATAATAATAATAATAATAATAATAATAATAATAATAATAATAATAATAATAATAATAATAATAATAATAATAATAATGATGATGATGATAAAGTTGGAAGGGACCTTGGAGGTCATCTAGTCCAACCCCCTGCTCAGGCAGGAACCCTACACCATTTCAGACAAATGGCCGTCCAGTCTCTTCTTAAAAACTTCCAGTGTTGGAGCATTCACCGCTTCTGGAGGCAGGTTGTTCCACTGGTTAATTGTTCTCACTGTCAGGAAGTTTCTCCTTAGTTCTAGGTTGCTTCTCTCCTTGATCAGTTTCCACCCATTGCTCCTTGTCCTGCTTTCGGGCACTTTGGAAAATAGCTTGACTCCCTCTTCTTTGGGGCAGCCCCTGAGAACTACCTGCAAATGTTGAGAACTACCTGCAAATCTGCAGGGTTTGTGTAACGAATGTTTTGGAGAACAGGGGAAGCCTTAAAGGTTTAAAGAAATGCTATAAAAGCAACACCATTTGGAGGTTTTGAGTGATTTTGCCTTGCTTTGTTCACCCTGGGGCTGGCTTGTCTCTTTTTCTGTTTAAAAATAGACGCTGTAAATCATCTCCGGAGGCTACTGTATATAATTTATTCCTCCTGTCACCTCCCTTCTCTTCAGCTGCCCGTGCTGGTCTCACGTTCTTGTTCTCCTCTGAAAGGACCATTTCTATAAATCCACCCTGGAGTTCCGTCTCCTTTCGGGTTTTTGAAACAGGCCAGCCAGCTTTTAAAGTGATGGGCCTGCCCGGCAGAGCTAAATTTTGCTTCCCAAACAGATTTAAATGATCTACTACGGGAGGGCTGGAGAAGATTTCAGGCCCTCTGGTTTTACTTTTGGAAGGGATGTTTTCTGTTTGCTGAATTGTGGCAGCTTTTGAGAGTGGGCAGAGTCAGGGTTTTTCAAAGTTTAGCAAGGCAAAGGAATAACCGATAGATGGGAAGATCTGCAGCCCAGGGTTGAACTCTGTGGGGTCCTTGGTGCTCTCTCTGAGCTGGGTGGTTTCCTTGCAGACGTTTCTTGACCCAGCTAGGGAACATCATCAGTTCTAGAAGGGAGGAGGGGTTGTGGAGGAGGAGGGGGGAGAGAGGGAAGGAGGGAGGGAGGGAGGAGAAGGAAGACTGTGGGGTCCTGGGTGCGGTCTGAGCTTGGTTCCTTGCAGACGTTTCATGACCCAACTTGGGAACATCATCAGTGCTAGAAGGGGGGTGTTGTGGAGAGGCGGAGGAGGAGAAGAGAAAGAAAGAGAGAGAGAGAGAGAGAAAAGGAAGGAAGGAAGGAAGGAAGGAAAGAAAGAAAGAAAGAAAGAAAGAAAGAAAGAAAGAAAGAAAGAAAGAAAGAAAGAAAGAAAGAAAGAAAGAAAGAAAGAAAGGATTGTGGGGTCCTCGGTGCGCTCTGAGCTTGGCGGTTTCCTTGCAGACGTTTCATGACCCAACTAAGGAACATCATCAGTGCTAGAAGCAGAGGGGTTGTGGAGAGGAGGAGGAGGAGAAGAAGAGAAAGAAAGAGAGAGAGAAAAGAAAGAGAGAGAAAGAAAGAAAAAAAGAAAGAAAGAAAGAAAAAAAGAA